CACTCTTCACGGCGCTTCGGGTGTTTTCCACTTATACAAATTAAATTTAGTCTTTATTCAATTTATTTTTAAAAAATATTTCTTATGATCAGTATGATCATTCTTTATTGAAATCTTACTTAAAACTGAAACTTATAATTTTTAACAGAAGACTTAAACCTAAAAGTAACTATAAACGGAAGATTCAAATGTAAACAAATAGTTGATATTTGTGCGTATTTAATGCACATTGTGCGTGTTTAATGCACGACAATAAAATATGAATTTTATTACTAAGATTGTTTATGAAGTACTTCACATTTTAGAACCGTTAATCCTATGAACGCTTAGAGTATCTAAACAATATGAAGCGATTTATAATTTATGGCGTTAACTTACACAAATGTTTAAGGCACTATTAACACTTAATATCAACCGAGCACTGTGAAGTTTAAAGAGTAACTCATGGACTGATTTTATTTAAGAAATTATTCTCTATTTATACAAAAATTGTCTTAAAACTAACTTAACTCATTTGTAATGATGTTTATTACTGAAGGATATTTAACCGCCGATATTATTTGGCGATCCTTCTGCTAACATCAATTTTTTACTTGAAAAATAAAAAGAATGTTTTTTGGTTTGGAACCTAGTGCGCTTCTTATGAGTGCATTTCTAGTTCTGATTTTTATTTGGTTCTTTACTTTCGACTTAACCTAGGTACATAACGACGCTTGGAAACAATTGGTGTATTTTTATATAGTAATGTTGTTGCACGCTTATGAAGTGAAAGAGAAAAAAAAAACACACAAATTTTCGTCTTCAATATTTTATTTTTTAATTTTTAAAACATTGATTTTTTACAAATTTTATTTTTAAATTCTTGATTTTTCAAATTTTATTATTTTCACTATTTTTAAATTTTATTATTTTACAATTTTCACAATTTATTAAAATTTTGGTTTTTTCAAAATTTTATTATTTTTACAATTTTCACAAATTTTAATTTTTAAAATTTTGATTTTTCAAAATTTTATTATTTTCCACAATTTTCACAATTCTACTTAAAATTTTTGATCTTTCAAAAATTTTATTATTTTCACAAGTTTTATTTTTAAAATTTTGATCTTTCAAAATTTTATTACTACGATTGAAATAACCGATGGAGAAGATTGAACTCTTTGACAAAATCTAACCTTAACAGGATTGATCTTAGGGTTTTATACTCGGTTTAACAGAGATAAATTCAAGCTCTCAAAAGCTATATTTTTGGAGCTTTGAATTTTATATGGAAACCAGCTTAAAGTTTTCGTTCTAACAGAAAGCTTAATGTTTTCATAAAAGTTACTGTAAGGTAACAGAAAGTTTCTCTGTTGTTGGCATGACAACTCAAAAGTTTGCTGTTGGTAACATAGCGTCATTTTTTAAGCTCTTACTTAAAATTATGCTATGATCAGCATTGGGTACAGTCACTTAATGCTGTACAAAGACTTTTTGTTGATCCCACGATCATGCACTCAAAGTTTGTTTACAATAGCTTTTACTTTGTTGAAGCTATTGTATGGTCACTTAAGGAAGGGGTTGTTACTTTGTAACAATTTTTAATGTGAAAGACGTGTAACGTTTTCATAATGTTTATTTATGTTTTTAAAGTATAAGGAATTTTATTAAAGTTTATGATGTGAACAATTTTTATGCAACAATGTGGTTGATACATTGTGGCAATTTTGATAGAGAAATATTAGCATCTATGCTAATATGTAACTATATACATTACACATTGTTCATTTAAGTGGACTGTGTTATTCAAATACAGGTTCAAAAAGGATCCCCTTGTTATAGTTTGTTTCTGCAAGTGAGTCAGTATCAATAAGTACTTTGACTCTGTATTCTTTGTGGTGAATTAAATTACCACTAGGTTTGGTTTCGTTGATAGGTTTTTTGTTGTTAACTGTTGTTTACTAGCTTTGTTTACTTATTGCAGTATAGAATCAAATTATATCTGTCCATAGTTATTATTTGGGTTGGTGAGCATTACTTTTAACATTGTTTCCATCATATTCTGCATCATTGTGCTGAACTGCTCTTGCATCTTAATGCAAAGTTGTTCGATGTTGTTGATATTTTTGTTTGAGGAATCTTTATTTAAGTTATTGGTAGGGCCTGCTGTTATTTCGGCATAGGTTATATTGCCTTTTTCCTTTTCGGTATGCTGGTCTAAACAGCGAATTAATATGACATGATTTTTCTTCCTTTGTAGTATAATATGAGTCTATTATATTATTATCATTTAACCCAAATACGTTTACGCTTATTTGAGGATTATTACTTTCAAAGTTTTTTTATATTATTCACACTTAACGCAAATCTTAAATTTTTATAATTAATTATTATATTATATTCTAGTTCTATGATATCTGAACTGATATCATTAATATGATATGACACACATCTTTCTTTATGTTTAATATTGAATGGATATAAAACAGCTATTATTGACCATTTAAAACAATATTTTTTAATATTGTTTGTGGTAAACGTATATATCGCGAACCACTTAAAGGTTTGTAGCTGTCCATATTATATTGTCGTAGTAGTCTCGTATAGGCTTCGATAGGTACTGGCTCATCCGTGAAAAGAATGAAATCGTCTCCGTTGACGATGGCATTTCCTCGTATACCGAGCTTATGTATCGAGTGCCTGAGGATATAATAGTTGATGAGGCTGTTTCCAAGGCCGGTATCAACGTCCCCTGACATTCGGGTTCCTCGTACGCTGTAACTTTCTCCATTGCGGGATCGAGCAACGTTTCTAATCGTCTTTTTGCACAGCTTCCGTAAATCGCTGCTTTGCTGGTAGCAGCGTTCATAAAATCGGTGGCATAACCTGAGCATGTCAACAGTGACGTGTGCATCAAAGGTACTATGGTCTCCTTCCGTATAGTATCTATATCTCCTGCATAGAATGTCGACTTTTCTGCCAATTTCATCGTAAGTTCCCTTACCGAAGTGGACATCGAGCTTAAGGTTTCGCTCGAGTGGCTTGATGTATACGCCATAAGCCAAGTTAAACGTTGGATGCCTTGCTTGGATAAGGCGAGGAGCTTTGTACTTGCTTGTTCCCATTTTTTCGAGCTTTGTAAAAGGAGTGATTCCGCTCGAGATCCTTCTGCCGGTGCGTATTTCTCCGAGAACTTTGTTATAAAATCCTCGTTTGCTGGAGCTGTCCATACTGTCGATATATTCTTCATAGCTCCATGGAGTGAGTTTGCGCTTGAACTTATGAAGGATCCTATCGTCGCTATGGACATCGTCGCGGGTTTCTGTATTTGAACGTAATTGAAAACACAGAGGCTATATCTAAATTATCAAATTATTTATTGTGTTCAACTTCTTCTTCGAATATAATTTTTCCTTCTAAATTTTTACAAGTTTTTGTGTTGTCAATGGGTCTTATGCATAAAAATGAGTTCTTGCTCTGAGCAAAGCATAGTGAGCTTGATCTCAACTTTCAGAGTTTCACCAAAACCTCAATCTCAAGTTGATTTTGGTATGCATAAAAATGAGATTAAGAAGCTTGAACTCAACTCAATCTATGCGAGCAAATGCTCAAAGCTTTCATATGCATTTGTTATTGTAATTTCGTGGTAAAAAGTTTCATTTATGTTATTGCAAGTGCTTTTATTCATTTTCAGTTAAAATTTGAATTTGAATTCGTGTTTTTTCAAGTGACAGAGGAATTAAAAATGTGTGAACTGAAAAGTGATTCTTTATCAATTTTCTTGGCAGAAAAAATAAATAATTATTCGGTGTTGTTTGAAAAATCACAACTGCCAATATTTAAAGCTAAAAAAATAGAAGCTATTAATAATTTAAAAAAACAATATAAAGAACTGAGTGGTATTGAAATTGAAAGCAAACAACTGCTTAAAAAAATTGCAAATATAAAAAGTAGAATAAAAGCCAAAGCGGACATTAACAGAACTGGCAATAAAAAAATTCAAATGAAAGAGTGGGAAGAGAAGTTTTTAAATGTTATAAGTAAAAAGGACAACCCGAGTGTAAACAAAATTTCAGGTAAGTTATTTATAGTGAATATGATAAGCAAATAATTACAAATATTCTTATTTTTTATAAAGGCGCAATTTCAGCTGGAACCACAAAAGACGGTGCATCAGCAAGTACCGCAAAATGTACAGTTAAAAGAAAAATTGAGGAAGAAGACGAGGAAGAAAATGAGGCAGAAAGTGGAGAAAAAAACGAGGAAACCGGCATAGCAAAGCGTAAAAAAGTATAGCGATTAGTTAAATTTTAGTGTTTTTTATTTAAAATGTTAAATTCTTTCAGACGCATGCAGCCTGCTCCAGTGCACATATTTTGGATAAATATGAGACTGATGAGACCAGGCATCTTAATTTAGCACAGTTGCAAAGATATATTTTGCTTAAGCAAAATATAGTACTTTCGCAACAAATGAAAAATTCAAATGAATAATTTAATTTTAAATTCTTATGAATCTTTATTTATTTATATCTTTATCTTTATATCTTATATCTTTATAGCTTTATATCTTTATATCTTATATCTTTATATCTTTATATCTTATATCTTTATATATTTATATCTTATATCTTTATATCTTTATTTCTATTTTTCGTTGTATATATTCTTTAAAATTAAAAATTTTAAAAAAAAAAATTAATAATTGAAATAAATAATTTGATTTTGAAAACTTATGAATTTTATTTATCTTTATATTTATAATATATCAAAATTAAAAAAAATTATTACATAAATTCATATTCTAATAAATTTTCAAATAATTAAAATTTACAAACTAATTGTAAATTTATTTACAATTATTTATTTACAAACTAATTGTAAATTTATTTACAATTATTTATTTACAAACTAATTGTAAATTTATTTACAATTATTTATTTACAAACTAATTGTAAATTTATTTACAATTATTTATTTACAAACTAATTGTAAATTTATTTACAATTATTTATTTACAAACTAATTACTGTTATCTGATAACATGTTGGCAATTGTTAACCGTTTTCGTTTGCCGTTTTCTCGAATCTGGTTGCAAGTAACTCCGCTGATTTCATTTGAAGAAAACACTACATTTTCGATGTTACTTTCTAAATCTGTTGAATATTCGTATGTATCATTAAGATGTTTTGCTATATTATGCAGAACAAAACCACTTATAATTATTTGTGGTACAATTTCTATATCAACACGAATTTTATATTGAAATAATGCAAACCTCTGCTTTAATTGACCAAAGCAACGTTCAATGATAATTCTTTCCTTTGTTATTGTGGAATTATATAAGGCTTCAATGGGATTTGATGGATTTTTAAAGGGTGTCATTAACCATGGCGCAATACCGTATCCTTCATCGCCAAGTAAATATGCTTCTACATCATTGCTTTTAATCACATTGTGCACCGAACTATTTTTAAAAATTCTTGAATCATGCACAGAACCAGGCCAAGAAACATCGACACTTGTAAACAATTCATTAGCATTGCATGTTGCTTGCACATTTATTGAAAAAAACCCTTTTCTACAAATGTATTCATCACAATTATTTAAAGGTTTTTTTATTTTGAAATGAGTGCAATCAATTGCTCCTACTGCAAATGGCATTTTATATTTCGTGCTCCATAACGGTTGTTCTGCCTTGAATTCAGTCGTTGTTTCCGGAAATTTGATCCATTCTGCTGCACGTTGCGAAATAATAAATGCCATTTCTTTAATTATGCGTGATGCAGTGGACTGATGAATACCGATATCTTCCCCAATTCCACATTGAAAACCTGGATCCGCCAAAAATCGAAGGTATGTACACATTTTTGTGAATCCATCCAAGCCTCCACCACGTGTTTCACTAGTTGAAGGCAAAAAATAATCCACTAACCATTGAATGTTTTCCTTTGAAAATCGATACAAGGTTTTATCACTTCCTATATTCATTGCAGTTAAACGCTGCTTATAAATTTTTTTTTTAATTTGAACATTTAAAAATTCTGCCATTATTTCTATTTTTTAAAAATTGTTTGTATTTTAACTGGAAATTTGTATTTTAATTTAAATTATTTTATAATTAATATATTTTATAATTTTATTTAAAACTTTAAACTTTGATCAAAAACTTTAAAAACACCGACTACCACCGACTTCTTGTGAAAAATATTTTTAAAGTGACAACTCAACAAACGTGAGCACAAGAAAAGCAGCTTAACTTTTTCGAAGCAATTGCTCACATAAAATTAAGAAACTTGATTTTTATGCATACGAAACCTACCATTTACTCACAATGAGCTTTTCAACAAAAGTTCAATCAATAAAATTGAGAATTTGCTAAAGCTCTTTTTTGCGAGCACAAGCACAAAATTTTTATGCATGCCACCTTGAGCAAATACTCAGAAAATGTGAGATCAAGCAAGAACTCATTTTTATGCATAAGACCCAATATTTTAAATTATAATCTAGTTTACTGCGATTACCGAGAATATGGACAGCTACAGGTTTATATTGATTAACTTTAACTTCAAGTTAAGATATTTTTATTAGTGTCCATCCAGTATCTCTATAATAGCATATTGATTTTCATAATGTGTAATTATATCATTTTTAGAAGAATGAGCAACAATTATCATCATTTTTATCTGATGTGACTTTAATTCAATTTTACAATCCACTTCATTGTCTTTAATTAGCATATAATTGCAAAATAGTTCAAAATTAAATTTAGTATTAATATGTCTTTTTAATACATTTCCCAATATATTACAAATATCATTTTTAATATTTTTAAAAAAGTTTTCAATAATTAAATCGTCTTCTTTATGTTTCAATGCGATCATTAAAACCTGATGGTAATACACTTTACATCGTTGTCTATTTGTTCACTTGAAGAATTGTGTTTATGTTTATTAGTGGGTAAATGATATGACCAGTGAGTTTTTAACACATTTTCTTTACACACATTATAATAAATAACTCGTTTACGTTATTAAATTTTGATTTACATATATCACACTGAGGATATTTTAATTTTATATGTCGTTTTAATGATCTATTATTTTATTTCTCTTATAATTTTTATACATAAAAACAATTAAATATACAATATTGTAATTTTTTTATTTATCAAATACAAATTTATAATTATTACTACTAATCATAACTTTTTTTTATTCTGAACCCTCCAGAGTTTAAATCCTCAATAGCAGAATCCGTTATTTCATTGTATTTTGTTGGTAAAAATATGACATTTTCATCCAACTCCAGTAAAATCTTCATTCCAAATTTTGTGAATTTTCTCTCCGCTTTGATGATGTTAAGTAGCATGTCAACAGGAAAATTCGATAGAGATATTATTGGTTTTTTGAAATCTGGTATTTTATTACCAATAGCATTTAAATAATTTGTCGATTTATTATAATTATTTAATTATAATTATAATTATTTAATTATATATATTTTTTTTATTTTATTATATTACACTCTATGAAAGAACAAAATGTAACTGATCAGTGTTTCGAGCAGTCTTACGCTTTTTATACTTTGAAAAAAACGTGATAAGTATGTATGAATGTCACTTATCTTGAATGTATGTGGTTAGTTCATACTTTCTTTCATTAATTTTATCTCTAAAAGCAAGTATATAATTATCGAAACCATTTTTTCAAAACAAGTTTCTTATCTGGAACGGATGTGTGGTCTGACGATACAAATTTATACATTAAATTTTTATCACACATATCACAAGTTAATATAGTGTCTGACTGTCACTATAAATTACAACACCACCACACATAAGGACACCTTGTTATAGTTTGTTTCTGCTAGCGAGTCAGTATCAATAAGTACTTTGACTCTGTATTCTTTGTGGTGAATTAAATTACCACTAGGTTTGGTTTCGTTGATAGGTTTTTTGTTGTTAACTGTTGTTTACTAGCTTTGTTTACTTATTGCAGTATAGAAATAAATTATATCTGTCCATAGTTATTATTTGGGTTGGTGAGCATTACTTTTAACATTGTTTCCATCATATTTTACATCATTGTGCTAAACTGCTCTTGCATCTTAATGCAAAGTTGTTCGATGTTGTTGATATTTTTGTTTGAGGAATCTTTATTTAAGTTATTGGTAGGACCTGCTGTTATTTCGGCATAGGTTATATTGCCTTTTTCCTTTTCGGTATGCTGGTCTAAATTAGAGTCCACCTATTTCATATTTTTCGGGTTTTTAGGACATCCCCCATAACTCGCCGGGTGGTCAAAAAGGATCCCGTCACTTAGGATTTTTCTTTCTATTTACAATATATTTTTATTATCGTAATTCGATACGGTGCCATAAAATATTGTAAATTGTGTTTTTGTAGAATATTGCTATTTTAGTTTTAAGTTTTTTAATACCCGTGTTTATTTTTTTTTTTTTCGTTAACAATTCTGAGAATTTAACGATAACAGACTTAAAATAATAAACTATAAATTTAAGGACATCCATGACAAAAAATATATAATTATACATAGAATATTAACAGAGATTGGATTTAATAGATACATTAATGCTGGGCTTCTAATTTATAGGCGTCATTTTTAGCCTTTGTTCAACTGAACTTCGCATACAAATTAAAATTATTTTATTTTTAGTATTTTTTAAAAAAATACGATTTTTCATTTTATTTATTTATAACAAAATATTAACAATATTTAATTATATATATTTTTTTATAAAGTAACAAGATATATATATTTATGAACTTACAAGATATAAATATTAACTAAGTTAAAAGATATATATTTTTTATAATTATAACTAGGACTCCGGTAAGTCCACAGGACTTCGTTGAGTCCAGAAGATTCCGTTAAATCCTCAAGACACGACTTATCTTTTCAATAAAATTCTGAAGACTGGCTGTAAATTCTTTATAGAAAATGACTAGAATCACTTTTTTGAAACATTGCAGATTGGGTTAACCAATAAAATTATTGCTTCTAAAATTCTTAGGAATTTTCCAGAAGCGTTCTTATCCCCGCCTCATAAGCGTCTTTAGCTTTGGTGTCAATAGCCAGATGTCATTACAATGTAATGAAATAAATTAACGCACATAGGCGTTTTAAGATATATTTAATGTGGAAAATTCAATGCGCATTTTAAAGATATAAAAATTAAAATTAAGATATAAAAATCTATGTTCAGGAACAATGATTTTGATATTTTAACAGATTCAGCATCTGAATCCCTGAAATTATTAATTATTAACAGTGTGATGGGATTTAATTTGAGATTTAATGAAAACACATTAATTATATGAAAAGTTTATTTTTATTTATTTAATCATTTATTTTTTTATTCATGATCTTTGTCAGATCACGTTCTACAATAGACTGTCTTCTGAAACTTATTCTAAATCTTACAATAGTTTCATTATTTATTTTTAAATGATATATTTATCTTATTCTAACAATATTCTCTTGATTCTAATTGGTTTGTAATGGAAGAATGGAAGAATGGACAATATTCAATCAATGTAATGGCTGGATCACCATGTAATGGAACTTCTTTATCAATGGAACTAGTGTAATTTGTTAGTCCGTTCAGATGTAGACTGGATCGTCAGGTAAAATGAGACGTAATACATGTCCTGTAAGTGCGTGTAATTATCCCTGCCTGATACGAGCATTCATCAAAAAACCTACTGATGCAATCAAGAACAAGTTATCAAGCGGCTTTTTACCGCTGGTACCTAGGCCAGTGTTACTTGGCCAGAAGGAGTGAGAATAAAATTCAACAACGCATGTATATCTGCAGTCATAAGTATATATTCTGATTTTATTGAACAATAGTTTGGGTATTTATACATTTTTCTAGATTCTAGCGATCTTAAGACTCCGCCTCTTTATTCCAGATAAAACCTGGAAAAGTATAACCACAGCCAATCAAAGTGATTGCTGACCTTGCAGAATGCATTGCATATCTACAATATCTAAAATAATAATTTTTTACATATGATTAATTTAAAATACATTTTTGTTTACATTATAGACATATTCCTAAGTATTTTTTTAATTGGTTATTATGAAATTCTTTACAATTGTTTCTTATCTTAATAATGGAATTTGTTCCATTTGTGTTTATAATTTTGTATGGTCCGTGATATGGACTCTGGTGTTTTAGTTTATTTTCATTTTTTACATACACCATATCTCCAATTTCAAAATTAGATTTGTTTATATATTTATCATATTCTTGTTTTCTTTTTATTTTTACTGTATTTATTAATTTTCTGGCCTTTGAAATTGAATTTTTTAGCCGAATATGCAATTCGTTTGCATAATTTTCAATGTCATAGCATTTGTTTACTTTATTTATATTGTCGCTTGGTAGCGATGGTAATTTACCATATACTAGCTCATAAGGTGAATAACCAGTGTCTATGTGAGGTGTTGTGTTGTATGCGAATGTGTAATATGGTATCCATTTGTGCCATTCGTAATCGTCAGCAAAAGTAAGTAAATATTCGTTTAGTTTTCTGTGGTTTCGTTCTAGTGACCCAATTGTTTGATGATGATACGGAGTTGAAAATATTTGCTTTGTATTTAGTAATGTGCATACATTGTGCATCAGTTCATTAATAAATTCTGTCCCTCTGTCAGATTTTAATGTTTGTATGAAACCATATTTAAGAATGAGTTGTTCAACTAGCGTAGTTGCAATGGTTTTTGCATCTTTAGTTTCGATTGGATGTGCTATAACGAATTTTGATAAATCGCATTGCATCGTTAATATGTATCTGTAGCCGTTCGAGATACGAAGTGGGCCTACTGTGTCGATTGAGACTGTACTGAATGTTGAAGTTGGTGTATCTGTCACTACAAGCGGTTCTTTAATATGTTTTATTGTTTTATTCTGTGCGTATTTTGTGCAATTGTTGATAAATTCTTTAACCATTTGCCGCATATTTTTCCATATATATCTTTGTTTTAATTTTAAAATGGTTTTCCTAACACCTAAATGACCTGATATGTTGGAAGTATGGAATTCATCTATTAATTTGTATTTAAGTATCGCACTATTTATTTCTTTTGGAGCTTTATATATTAAAATTCTTATTGGCGCGCTTTCATTTTCTTTGAGCTCATTATATTTATTCTTGAATGCATTCATCTTAATATTTTTAAATATATATTCTTGTTCACAAAGGGCTAGCTCCTTTATATGTGAATTGTGCATAGTACTATGTAGTTTCTCCAACATTGAATCTAGTTTCAAAGGGTCATCGCTACATGTAACTTGCACTTCATTATTAATTATTTCAATTGCAGTACTACTTTCTTTATCAATTTTAAATTTTAATTTCTTTAAATTTTTAACGTCATTGAAGGATGTGCATTTCCATATGTGAAGTTGATCAGACTTCTTTGGAGATGTATCTCTAATGCGTTCCGCGGATAATTCATTCAGGCCTATTCTGAATCGCAAGGGAATGCGAGTTTGTTCGCTGTTCCCAATTCCCCTATTCTGAATAAATTTGGTATGTTCCCTGTTCCCAATTCCCCTATTCTGAATCGCATGCGAATGTGAGTTTTTTCCTAATTTTGCACAAATTCTCTCGCTACCAAATTGTTGGGGAGACAAGTTAAAATAGTTTAATTTAATATAAAAGTAACTGAAAATGATCAGATTTTTGAATATATTTTAATAAAATTATTATTATAATAAAATTATTACAATAAATTTAATATTTTCAAAGTTTTATTTTTTGATTAGTTTTCCGAATATATTTTAATAAATTTAATTTATTTGTTTTTTAAGGTTGTTTTTTAATTAGTTTAAAAAAGAGTTAAAAATTTAGAATTTAGCATTTGGTTTATTTTGCTCATGCATAATTCTTTTTATATATTTATTTTACTCATTAAAATAAAAGTTTCTAATTGTTTATTATTTACTCATAAAATAACTTATATTTATTTCCGATAATTTGTGCATCGATACGTAAAAAATACACTTTGCGTTTGAAAGAAATGCCGCAAAGTTTGAAGGCAAAATTTTTAGAAATACCTGCAAAATCAACTACAGTGAAGGAAAGTAAGTATTAAACTCAGCTAAAGCAAATTTTTTATATTTTTATGTTGTAAAGATTTAGCTGCGTTGTTAATTCTTTGCATTAGGATTTCCAATCTTTTGGGGGAACTAAGGCCTTTATAATTTATCCACTAATTTGTAGGTTTGAATTTACATTATATACGTTTGCGTAACATTTTTTCTAGCAGAGTTGCACAACGTACACCAATAAGTGACCACTGCCCAATGAACAGTTTATACCATATTCTCTACTACCAAAGTGTGGTAAATTGAAGCTTCACTAAGTCTTCTGGGAAAGATATGACTGCCTTCTCTGCTCAACAATAAATAAACAATGCTATATCCATTCTATGCATTTAGGTCAACTATATTGCAAAACCGAAGTGGTTTTCACCCATTCTGATATAAAATCTAATTTTTGACGTTAGGATATATAGACAATTTACTACTTTGTCAGTTGATTAAATTCAAGACACTGTTCTTATCTTATTCTAACATGGCATCTCCCGTAATTATGATATTCTCATTACCAATCTCAAACACACCATTGCATAGATCTTCGGTTTCCGATTGTTACAATTAAAATACACCTGAATGATATACGCTGATTCCTTTTTCAACTATAATTCTACTACTATCACGTCACTTATTCTTTTTTGACTTCGTATTTCATTCTACTATAGGCTCTACTTCTTCTTGCGGAATGTTGTGGTTGACGAGATTTGGTTCCATTCGTCTTTTTAATCTAATTACATCAAAGGTTTTCACTATGTTGTGATATAACGTATTTATATCACTGATATTAACGCCATCGAATACTTGAAATATTTCTATTTAACTTTTAAGTCTATTCATCAGAATAATCATTGTTTCCCAATAACCAACTCTTATATAAGAGAGGAGTGATGATATCATAACTAAAAGATTTTAAGAGTCATGATTAAATTTTTGGTCGTTCGTTCGAATCTCAATAAAAACATATGATGATTGTTGGTGATTGTAATCTGTTTTGTTTTTAGAAAAAAAATGTGATAAAAACCATTTAAAAAGTGATAGAGAATCAAATTACACCTATTTCGATAGCTATAAGCCATTATCTGATGAATTTTTATTAATGTACATATCAAAAAAAGTGTCTGATGTTAATAAGCATCCAGAAATTTTAAAACGTATAAAGGAAAATAAACAACCACATAAAAGACAGTCGGGAATAGAAATAATATCAATAGAAACGATTGTGCCACCAAATATTGAAAATGAAATAACATTGGATGAACAATCGCCAGTCATACCTGAAGAAAACATGGAAATATTCAATAAGTTGTTCGATCCAATTCCTTTGGTAATTGAAATGAACTTATAATGAATAAATTTATATAATTTTACTAATTCTTTTTTTAGAAATGTACTTTATCCTATGTACTTCGCGTTTCTTTTGGTCCAAAACAATCTGTTCTGCGCACATTGATGCATATATTGTTCGAAGATTTCTGCAAGTTCACAAATATTTATCAATTGTCTAATATTTATAATGATAAACTAAAACTATTCAAAATTTATGAATCCACGATTAAAAAAGAAATATGGCCGTTTAATTTATATATGCGCATAAGTGATATTTTCCTTTATTTACTGTTAAATGATGTAAAGCTTGATTTAAGTGATTTACAACATATATCACCAAAGTTTTTACATTGGAGTGATCTTGCAGTGAATACTGATTTTAATGAAATTGTACAAGATTATTTTAATATGAATGGAGAGCGCATTGATGGTGATGAACAGCTACAAATTTCTTGTGAAAGTTTTTATACTCGTTGCTGGAATGAGGACGATTGGATATGGAAAATACCCAAAATAACTAATAATTCGATCCAAGAGATGTTAATTAATGTTACTAAAGGCAAGTGATTAAAAGTTAAAAATTTATTACTAATGCGGGATTATTCAGAATTTCGTTATTTATTTTTATAGCTTTTTAATATGGCATAAGTATTTGAATAATATGTTCTCTATTTTGGTTCAATATCATTTTGCTCTGTTTGTAGCAGTAGCATAATTTTAGAATTTAATACTTCTATGTTTTCTTGCTCTAATACATTTAATTCTACCTATAAATGCTTTTCGTGAGTTGCCAATTTAATTAATTATAGTTAGCCTATAATGTTCGTTTGATATTCTATATAGCCTTTTTTTCATACACAATGAGTATTAGCTTCAAAATTTAACCTTTTTCTTGAGAATTAAATTAAATATAATTAAAAACACAATTGTAAATTAACCTTGTGATGATGTTAAGAATTAAGAATCGGTATTTTATGCCGCAGAGCTTTCTGTTGTCTTAGTTTCAATGCGGCTTAAGCGTGAAATTAAATGCGAAAAAAAAAAATTTCAAATCCTCCTTAAAAATATAACGAAATTACTTTTCGAGCCTAGTATATTTTTCCAAGTATTGTTTTCAATGCATAATCAAGACTTCAATTATATGTATACTTAAACCATTAGCATTATCTGATGAAGATGCAGAACAGTGGACTGTTGAGAAGAAAAATGTAAAGGGCTCATATATATCACTGGAAAAGTGTAAGTAAGATATATGTATATAAATATCTCTTATAAAAACATTCTTTTTGGTTTTAATCAAAGTCTAAATATATTTGTTACTTAAGCTTAAACAAAAGCAATCAATATAGTTTTTAGTAGATATTTACACTAAAGGTTTTCAGATTGAACTCACTTTTTCTTTATTCATATGTTTTTTGTAAAACTATCACTTTACCAGTATTGTCAAAAGAGTAAAGGTTATGCACACAGTACCTCTTTTAGAAACCGATTCAATTCATTAACTTTTTAAACAGGAGATAAGAAAGTAACTGAATAACTGGGTAAGGTAACACAAACTTACAACTGAACAATCACACTGACATTAACATGGCAATCAAATATTTATAAATCAGTGTTATACATTCTTTCACAACTAAAACAAAAGACAGATGGTAAACTATTACAACCTGTACATTAACGATAATCAACTCGAGCTCTCCTAACAGAAAACTTACTAAGACTCTCCTTTAAAATGATTAACAAAGTATAATTACATTTAGTGCATTAACAAGTCATTCTCTCTTAAAAGCACACGTAGATGAGTTGGAATGAGGACGGTAATTGCAGAAAAAGCAACATACCTGGATTAAACTTTATGCTGCAATCTAGAGCAATGTTTTTCAACTCAAACCGGCCGGTAAAATATTCATTCCAATTTGCAATCTTCAGTACTTATATATTCGCAAAAAATAAGACCAAAATACAATATTTCACGAACCGGTATTTAAGAAACTCTGATCCAAAAACTTTGCCACAATCCTTGTATTCATAGTTTAATCAAAACATTTATGCTAACCATACGAAACAATTTATTTTTATTTTATATACCATAAATTACTACTGCGATAAATAACTGATTTGAACATAAAACTATAATTTTATCAAGACAGAATAAGTATTTTCAAAGTGACATAGTTCGGCGTAAATATCTTTACTAGTTTAGTTTAAGTACCAGTATTCAACGTATTCATATATATTTTTTATCATGCTTATTTCCATATTGTTCAAATATAAATCAACATAAATAAATTAAATTATTTATAAATTGTATATAGATCTAAATGAAAATTCGGAATATCATAATCACACAGAACTGGTTGAAACGTCTTCCAGTATCACAAATCGTTCCTTGAAAATTACGGACAATGCATCTACAATCTGTTAGTTTTAAAATTTTTTATTTTCTCTTTCTGTTAATAATAAAATTATTTTTAAATGCAGTTCAAAGTACCAATAACGATGGAGCATGTAGTGTTGATGTTTTGCTTTCATCACAGACTCAACCTCAGGAAGACCCAGTCTGTATGTCATACAAAGCAAATACATCAAATCCTAATAACACAGGTATTAAATTTCAATCAGCTGTTGTTATATGTATATCAATTATTTCAGTATATTTCCGACCAGAATTATTCATTGCATTTTACTTTTACAATTTATACTACTTTAAATATTTATATAATTTCGTTATTTCTACTTTTAATTCGATGATTCGACAATCCGAGTTTAATTAATCGTTACGTTCGAAGATATGTTATTTTGCTATGTTGAGACATTATACATTGTATTTGGCACACATTTTTCGCTTTAATATTTTAATCAGGCCTATTCTGAATCGCATGCGAATGTGAGTTTTTTCCTAATTTTGCACAAATTCTCTCGCTACCAAATTGTTGGGGAGACAAGTTAAAATAGTTTAATTTAATATAAAAGTAACTGAAAATGATCAGATTTTTGAATATATTTTAATAAAATTATTATTATAATAAAATTATTACAATAAATTTAATATTTTCAAAGTTTTATTTTTTGATTAGTTTTCCGAATATATTTTAATAAATTTAATTTATTTGTTTTTTAAGGTTGTTTTTTAATTAGTTTAAAAAAGAGTTAAAAATTTAGAATTTAGCATTTGGTTTATTTTGCTCATGCATAATTCTTTTTATATATTTATTTTACTCATTAAAATAAAAGTTTCTAATTGTTTATTATTTACTCATAAAATAACTTATATTTATTTCCGATAATTTGTGCAGCAAACAAATAATGCGATTTTTACATTTAAATCAACATATGATACGCAATTCTTTTCTTTGTTTTGCTCATTTTCTCACTTTTCGTCATTAAAAAGTGGCATGGTTGCCAAAATTTAACAAAACAAATTTGAAATTGTTGTTGTTCACGAAACTGCTGTCTCCCTAGCGATTCAGAATAAGGGAGCTGTGTGTTCGGGAACAGCGTGCGAATAGGGAGTTTTTTCGCTGGGAGTATTCAGAATAGGCCTGATTGTATTCATTTTTCTTATATATTTGCGCTTCTTTATTTTCATTATTTTTACATGCATGCTTAATTTCTTCATTCTTATTTAATTTTGCGGCCTTGCTCCTTGTTAATATGTTAATTTTTATATTTCCTACGTCATTTTCTGTAGTAGGTATCATTGCTCTCAGTGTATCGCTATCTATTTTGATGCGTGACAGTGCATCTGCGTTTGTATTTATTTTGCCTTGTTTGTAAATAATTTCAAAATCATAATCAGATAAATCTACTCTGATTCTTGTCCTTGTCTGTTATTATTGGGCCTGTAGTTATTATTGTTGATTGGTCTAAAATTGTTTCGGTTGTTGTAGTTGTTTGGTCTTTGTATAGTACTATTATTGTAAAAGTTGTTATTACTGTTGTTGTTTCTAAAATTATTATTATTTGTCCTGCTGAAATTGGTAATGTTTCCTGAATTGTTGTTATTTCTGAAAGTGTTATTGTTGGGGTACTTTCTATGGTCATTAGTGTTGTAGTTATTGTGATTATTATATCGTTTATTATTAGAGATAAACATAACCCTTGCGTTGTTATTATCATTAATTTGTTCAAGTTCTAGGGCTAGGTCTACGGCTGTGTCAAAAGATTTTGGGAGTGCGGAAAAAATAGTTTGTTTAAATTGGTCGTTTAAACTATTTTTAAATACGGTTAAGCTATATTGTTCATTTAGCTGAGTGATAAGTGTTTTTTGTTCAAGTGTGGCATTAGGGCCAATTTGTGCTATTTGAAGTTTATTTAGCTCGGATATTAAATAGAGAATTTTATTTTTGTAGTTAGAAATGTTCAGATTTCTCTGCGTTAAGTTGGCTAGTTGGTTTTGTAGTTTCGGTATAGTGGTTGTTGTTTTATATTTACTTGATAACAGGTTTTTTAATTCTTCTAGTGTTGTGGGCTGTTGAATCGCAGTTATGTTTGTTCGTACTATTTGCGATAATTTTACGTAAAGTATAAAATCAATAAGTGAACTTTTGCCTATAGGCGTGAGACCATTATAAATAATTTCAATTATTTTTAAGAAGGGTTCTAGATCTCTGTGATTTCCTGAGAAGCTGGGAATAGCCTTTGTAGCTACTTCTAAATTGAAATCAGACATGGTTCTTCTTGTGTTATCAGATTCAGTGTTTGAATTTTCAGGAATGTAGGTGATTGGTGTTGGTATTGGTGTTGATATAGAGTGTGGTATTGACATATCAGTATTGTATTGTGATAATATTTTTATCAATTTGTCTCTTAAATGCCAGAAAATTTCTAAACCAGTTTCTTTATGTTCTTTTGAAAACTTAACGTTGTATACGTTTAGTATACTTCGTATTGATTCAAGTGTGGAGAAAAGTGTTTGTAAATGCTTGTTTACAGTATCTTTCTTGATTTTTATAGTTTTATTTAAGCATTTATATGCTTTATTAAAATTTTCTTTTTCGACTAATATATTTTGGTAAATTTTTTGCTATGTGGCCATTATATTTTCTTATTCATATTTGTACCTGTTGTCTAACAAGGTTACGTTTTAATTTTTTATGAAGTTGCTTAACGATAAATGAGATTATTATTATTATTACAGTTGCTGATAATATCATTTCTAAATAACTTATATTTGTCATATTATTGTTTACAATATTATTGTTTTTATTTTCAATTGTTTTGCCTATTTCATATCCTGTGAATATGAGTGGAATTGAACTAAAAATTTTATTCCAAAATCCCATTTTAATAATATTGGTTCTAGTAAAAAATTTTTTATTTTTTTTTTTTTTGTTATATTCAATTTTTAAATAATTTATTTACATAATTAATCAATTTAAAATGTTTCTTATTTATATGTATATTTAATTTGTTACTTGTTTGGTGACTTTTACCACAGACAAAACAATTGAAATTATTCATATTTATAAAAGAAAATTTATTATTATTTTTTTTTTTTATTCTAAACATACAAAATACATACATAAAAAAAATACAAAATATAATAGAAATGTAATATGTTATTTCTGCTTATTTCTCCGCAGGTTCTTTATTTTCAGCTTGATCTCCTTCTTTTCTGCAATAGTTGTCGCCAGGTTGTACCTCTCGTACAGTTGGGCAATTTGCTTTCGTTGGCGAAATGCTTTCCCTCTTCGTCTATTAGGTTTCTTTTGTGGTGGTGGAGTGTCAGGTGTGGTAGGTTGTCTCCTTGCCTCTTGCCGCCTTTTGTATTCCTCTATAGTTATTGGTTTTGGGCCAGCCGATCGTGGTGTAGGTACATATGTTGGATGTACTTCTTCGCGTTGCGCTACTTGTTCTGGTACGTATTCTTCTGGAGTTGCCTTTGTTGCTTGCAGTATTAGCTCGTACTTATGGAAAATTGCGTGGAAGGTCGCTTCATCTATCATATCGTCTAGGATTGTGTTGACTTCAATCAATTTAATTGATGTGATTTATGATCGATAATTATAATTGATGTAATATATAATTGATAATTATAATTTTAATTGATGTAATTTATTATTGGTCCGCTTGGCATTGAAGCCTGCAGGATCGCCATGTAATGGAAGAATGGAAGAATGGACAATATTCAATCAATGTAATGGCAGGATCGCCATTAATGGAACTTCTTTATCAATTGAACTAGTGTAATTTGTTAGTCCGTTCAGATGTAGACTGGATCGTTAGATAAAATGAGACGTAATACATGTCCTGTAAGTGCGTGTAATTATCCCTGCCTGATACGAGCATGCATCAAAAAACCTACTGATGCAATCAAGAACAAGTTATCAAGCGGCTTGTTACCGCTGGTACCTAGGCCAGTGTTACTTGGCCAGAAGGAGTGAGAATAAAATTCAACAACGCATGTATATCTGCAGTCATAAGTATATATTCTGATTTTATTTAACAATAGTTTGGGTATTTATACATTTTTCTAGATTCTAGCGATCTCAAGACTCCGCCTCTTTATTCCAGACAAAACCTGGAAAAGTATAACCGCAGCCAATCAAAGTGATTGCTGACCTTGCAGAATGCATTGCATAGCGACGACACTGTTTGCTCATTTAGGTCAAACGTCAAAGTTATTATTAGAGTGCATTGACAATATTGCTTGCACATGTCTTTTGCAATATAGGAAATATTACTATTGAAAATATTGTAACATGTGTTCAGCAATTGGAACAGCGTGTGGCAATATTTTCGTTGGTAATACGAAACTCTTTTGTTTATGACGCTTTGCTTATGCTTCTTGTACGGTATGCATGAAGTGCAACCAATTCATAAATCTGCTTACTATTATTATTTATGAGTAATGTTAAGTGGCTAAGAATTAAGTGAGGTAGGTCCACTATAAACTCAATTAGTATTTTCATTTTTAAATGTTTATACCTAAACTTTTAAAACCCTTAACATGTGAAATTTTATTGTGCGAAACGTGCGCCATTTCATTATATTCTGTCAATAATAGTGACGGAATGACATCTTTTGAAGTATGTTGCGCATCCAACACAACTAAATTGAGAATTATTGTTGTCATGCATCTTTGGTTAATAACTCATTATGTATTATCATTTTTAATTGTTTTATACCCGGAATTTTTTAAAACCCTTATACATGTGAAATTAATTGTGCGCAACAGTGCGCCATTTCATTATATTCTGTCAATAAATAGTGACGGAATGACATATTTTGAATTGTGTTACGCAGTCTACACAACTAAATTCAGAATTATTTTTGTCATGCATGTTTGTTATTAACGAAATTATGTATTATTCGTTTTTTAATGTTTTATACCGGAACTTTTTAAAACCCTTATACATAAAAAATTAGTGTGCGCAACAGTGCGCCATTTCATTATATTCTGTTAATAAATAGTGACGGAATGACATATTTTGAAATGTGTTACGCAGTCCACACAACTAAGTTGGGAATTATTTTTGTCATGCATGTTTGTTAATAACTCAATTATGTATTATTCGATTCTTAATGTTTTATACCGGAACTTTTTAAAACCCTTATACATGTGAAATTAATTGTGCGCAACAGTGCGCCATTTCATTATATTCTGTCAATAAATAGTAACGGAATGACATAATTTGAAGTATGTTACGCAGTCCACACAACTAAGTTGAGAGTTATTTTTGTCATGCATGTTTGTTAATAACTCAATTATGTTTTTCATT